TCCTTCTTCCTCCTTCCTCCTCTCCTCCTCTCCTCCTCCTCTCTCCTCCTCCTCCTCCTCCTCCGTGGCTCCAAGCGGGCGGGGCGAGGGGCACAGGCTGGGCTTGAGCTGCAAGCGCGTGTGCATGTGTGTGTGTGTGTGGGGGCAGTGGGCCAGGAGGTTAAATCCCCCTTTGCCGAAAGTGCCCCGATCCGGCACTCCTAAAAAAAGTTTTTTAATTTTTTAATTCTTTGTGAGTGCCACTTGGCTCGACACTCTAAGCAAAAGATTTTTTTAAAAAATTCTTTGTCGAATGCCCGGATGGCGCCGCAAAGAGGGTTTTAATTTTTTAAAAAATTCTTTGCCGAAAAGTGCCATCGTCACGGCACTTCGGCAAAGCGGTGATTTGTCGAGTGTCATTTTATGACACTCGGCAAACCATATTTTTTCACTTTTGACCTCAAACTTTTTGCAGGTTCTCATACAATACACAGTGCTCCATGTCTCAATGTGGCACATTTCTCGGACTTTTCTATATTTCATTAATTTATTTCATTTAATTGAATTTTCTTGGATAATTCAAATTATAAGCTACTAGTCATTGAATAATGAAAAAAATAAATGGAAAAATGATATTCATGTTATTTAGTATAATAATGTGAAGTGGTAAGGACAAGACCATCAATTTGAACATCTTGATCACAAAACCTGACCACGAACTTTATCACAAGTTGTTTTAAATTGATATGAAAACAATCTTGAGTCAAGTTTCATGAAACTTATCATGATATCATGATATCTTTATATAGAGGCTATAAAAAAAATTTGAGAAGAAGTTCGTGGTCATGTTTCGTGAACAAGATGTTCAAATTGCATTCTGCATGACAATGTCCTGACAAGTAATGATACGGCCTTACATTATACTAAAAACATGAATATCATTTTTCCATTCATTTTTTTCATTATTCGAATGACTATAATTTGAATTATCCAAGAAAATTCAATTAAATGAAATAAATTAAAGAAGTATGGAAAAAGTCCGAGAAATGTGCCACATTGGAACATGGAGCACCAGGTATTGTATGAGGACTACAGAAAAAGTTTGGAGGTCAAAAGTGAAAAAAATATGGTTTGTTGAGTGTCATAAAATGACACTCGGCAAATAATCACTTTGCCGAGTGTCAAAAAAATGACACTCGGTAAATCACCACTTTGCCGAGTGTCAGAAGAAGACACTCGGCAAAGGGTTAACGGCGGCGGCCCTTTGCCGAGTGTCAAGAGAATAATACTCGAAAAAGCCAGTTTTGCCGAGTGTTATTGTTTGCCGAGTGCCGAGAGTGTTATTGTTTGCCGAATGCTCGGCACTCGGTAAACCACCTCTTTGCCGAGTGTCAGATGTTTGCCGAGTATTTTATCTCTGGCACTCGGTAAACAACCTCTTTGCCGAGTGTTCGATAAAAAACGCTCGGCAAAGTGTGGAACACTCGGCAAAGAAGCCGTCTCCGGTAGTGCATGTAGGAGCAATAATTAGGTTTCTGAACAATTGGGTTCTGTCTCTCTTTTCTGGCCCTTGTAGCTTTCTTTCTTGATATAGCGATGATTGATACAGCAACATCTGATAGGAAATGCAGTACAACACCAGCCGGACGATCCAACTACTTATCGCTCTAGCCGGACGATCCAACTACTCATCGCCAACCATTTTATCGGTCGATGTCCGCTGTGAATGAAATATAGGCCCCGTTCGACGGGATTTATCGATCTGCGGCTGATTTGTAGTGTTGAAAAGCACTGTTATCATAACTTAAAAGTAGAACTGATTCTCAAACGATCAGAGAGCCATAGAGACGTCGTCTGTTCACAGCACGTGAATCACGTAGGAAACATGTATATATATGCGGATTCATCAGCCAAAAAATGAAGCGAGCACGAATGCGACGTCACTCGGCGTCGGTTTCAGTTGCAGTATATTCCAGACAACCGAAAGCAACCTGAGAGTGTTCGTGCTTCGAAAAAAGAGTAGTCGTTGGCTGAATGGTAAAGTAAAATTGGCTAATCTATGGACGCTTGCTGAGCTATGGCCTATGGGTGCCACAACTACGAAATGGTCTGTAGGCTGTAGCCGGTAGGAGACCCAGGCGCGCGGGAGCTGGTATTGTACGCACAAAAAGCTGGTCTCTAGCCGAAAGCCTTCTCTGCTATAGAAAAATAGAAGAGCAGCAGTGGTCCCACGCACGTGCAAAGAAAAGCCTAGAGTCTGTCTATCAACACGCGAAATTTTTTGTTTTTTTAGATTTTTTTTGAAAGATATTTACAAATGCACCCCGGTATGTATCCTTTCAAAATATAGGCCCTGGGCTCGGTGCTGTAGCAACTAGCGCCGAAGTTGCACATTTCGACGCCATGGTCATTAGCGCCGAGGTCCATTGTCATTTTCTGCGTGTCGTTGACGTGACTGCCCATGTGCCGCGAACGTGGTATGAGCTCGGTACCGTGGATCTTGGCGCCAAGCTCGGCGCAGAGATCTTGGCGCTGAGCTTGGCGCCAATTGCTACGGCACCGAGCTCTGGAAATTGATAAATTTGAATTTCTACTATGACTTAGATATTGAGAAATGTGGCTAACTCTAGAGTTTTTATATTGACTTGTTGTTTAATCACTTAAAACAATCTAGAAATACTTAAGATAAAAAATGATCTTTGAGTTTGTTTCAATCTTCAATCTATTGATCTTCTAAAAGATACATTTAACGGGGTGGAACCCTGAACTTCAGCTACTAGTGCTTGCTTTCTTTGGACAATATTAAACAATGAAGATACTTAATTTTCAGAGCCGGGCAACCTAGCCACCTATCTTCTCAAAATCTGTTTTGGTTACGATTGTTTATGTTGAACCAACCTAGATCTTAGAAACGGGTAATTCACACGCCCATTAAGCCTGTCCAAAAATGTGAATCGCTAGCTCTTTTATAGGCGTTTCCTAATGTTTCATTTCTTAAGTATTTATTTTGCAAGAGCTCTTGCCACGTACCATCTTTATTATAAAGTTTGAGCAACCATTTGCTTAACAATTATTTTCTTCTACAAGTCTAAGTTTAGAATTCTCATTCCTCCTTGCTCCTTTGGCTGACAAATAATATCCCATTTAACTAATCTATACTTCTTTTTATGTTGCTCATTTTGCCAGAAAAATCTTAATCTAAAATTATCTATTTTTTAGTACTCCTCCTGGGACCTAAAAAAAGATAGCATAAAGAGAGGTAGGCTAGATAAAGCTGAGTTGATTAGCACTCATCTCCCCTTGAAGACAAAATACTTCCTTTCCAACTGTTGAGCCTTTTCTATTCTATTTTCAATCTCTTTCCAGTCCTTATTATTTAACTTTTAGAAATGCATAGGGATTCCAAAATAGCGAAAACAGAGTGAGCCAACCTTGCAGCCAAACAATTGTCAATATTGTACCTCACATTCTTTGGCTTCACCGAAGCAAAAGATTTCACTTTTATCAAAGTTAATTTTAAGACCCGATAATTGTTCAAAGGTGCAAAGAAATAATTTCATATTCCTTTCTTGATCAAAATCATGGGGCATATATAAAAATAACAATATCGTCAGCATAGTGTAAGATAGACAGACCATCTTCTACTAGATGAAGCACTACCCCTTTCACTTGACCATCCTCTTTGACCCTAGCAACAATCATAGCCAACATATCTACCAGAATGTTGAATAAAGTTGGTGATAGTGGGTCACACTACCATAGGCCTTTCTTGGTCTGAAAGTAAAAACCCAGTTGATCATTGACTTTTATTCCTACATTACCCCTCTTGGACAAATGCTTATATCCATTCACACCATATAGGGTCAAAACCTTCCATCCTTAAAGTATGTTGTAAGAAGTCACATCTAACTTTATCATAAGCCTTTTCAAAATTAGTCAATCTTAAAGATAATCCCATTTTGCTTTTTGGTGTGTAACTCATGAATTGTTCTGTATAGAATCACTACATCTTCCATGATATTTCTACCTGGTAAAAAGGTTGTTTGTGATGGTTTAATAATTCAATTGACTATATTAGTATCCTTGTTAGTGGGGACCTTGATATACATTCAACAAACAAACTGGACGGTATTGTTGCATTTGTTTTGCATCTGTACTTTTTTTAGTAAAAATATTGTTCCAAAATAAAGGTTATGGAAAGGCAATGATCCCATATGGAACTCCATAAAAAGGGCTAATAAATCATACTTTATTACATCCGAGATGTAACACCCCTGGTGTTAGGTACCTAATTAACAAATAGGTTAAGGCTTAACATATATGATAATATCTTTTAGTGTGCTTGAGCTTTAAATTCTTCCATTAGATGATAAGGTACATGTTTGTTTAAATCACTTTTGTGAATAAAATCCATATGTGTGTTGCTAACCCACTTTGCTTTTATGCTTAGAACACCTCTAAATAATCATTTGAACCAAAGTTGTTTAAGGTTTATTTTGGAAAAATGTGGAGAAAGTGCTTAAAAATACCAAAAACTCGAAGTGCTAGTTGTTTGCTTGATGGCTGTTTGAGAGCTGAATAAATAATTGTTTTATTAATATACTTAAAATTTTATCAATATATAAACTGTAGTATACGTTATGAGCTTAACTGTGGTGCTTTTAAGAATGAAATTTCTTTTAGATGGTTTAAATAGTTGCTCAAAGATTGAATAAAAATCAGCTTTCTATAGGGACTTCGAAAAAATCAGTCTGAAACACAGACTGACAATCGCATCTTTCAAGCTCTATATCTCTTGATCTTTTGTCCTAGTCGACCTAGTGCTTAAACATGGGTTGCAGAGTGAGGAGAGACCAACAACTTTGTTTAAGGAAGCACGAGCTCGTTCCGAAAAGAAAATGCCAAAAAGCTGGCCCTAATGTAGCCACTGTTATGTATGCCAGCTGCTCGAGGATATGTCCAGACACTGTCAACTTGTTAGCCGCGTAGCTCTCTGACTGTTGCTCAATCCGCCGTGCTACTTAAGCGAAAAATGTAGCTTTTACCAAGGTGAACAACTTTTGTTTAGATATCTTGATCCCTTTCGAAATGAAAACGGACGTACGCGCCAGTCCAAAACGCTTAGGCACGAAACTCGTTCGGCCTCTGCACTCAGGCCGCGCAGGGGCGCCCAGGTCTGCCCCGCTGCCGCGCTGCTCGCTGCGCCCCCGCCTTGCTGACCGTGCTGCGTCGCTGCCCCGCTGCCCTGCTGCGGCATCATTGCTGCTTGACCACGAGCGCCTCGCCCGTGACCGTGACTCCTCCAAAGCCGCGCCCCTTCCCCATTTTCTCTCGCACCATCGCTGCTCGCGCAAAGCCATGGCAGAGCAGAGCTCCTGCCATCGCCGTTCCCAGCCTCCTGAGCACCCACGAAACCAACCACCGCTGCCATCTCCGTCCTTGCCTTCCTCGTTGGCACCCCGCTCCTTCACCCTCCCTCCAACGCCGGAGCGCAACAGCACGCCGTCAGCGGGCCGCGACCGCCGCGGCCGCGCGCGTATGCAACCCTGCTGCCTCGGGCTGCCCCTGGCCAGGTGGGGCACCACGCACGAGTCTTGCGGCCCTGCTGTGTCCTAGCGCCACCATCGCCAGACTTAACCACCACCGCAACCACCTCACCGGGCACCGCCGCTGGGAGCCGTGGCCGCCGCCGCTGCTACCGTGGCCAACCACGCCCGGCCCGGGCCACCCCAACCAACTCTGCGGCTACCTTCTGGCGCGCGTGAGTCCCAGGGTGAGCGCTGGCCCTCCATTGCCGCCGCCGGCCGCTGTCTCGGCCGGATTCCGGCCCTCCGGGTCGATCCTCTGCTCGGCTCACCGAAGGAGGAGAAGGGAGGAAAAATGAAAATAGAAATTTTTTCTTGGTTCCAGACGCGAAACACTAGACTCAGATGAGTAGTCTACCAGACTACGGATTGATTTGTGAAGAGTTCAGAGACCTCGGTGCAAAATGTTTGTCCTTTTGGTTTTCTCTTTTTCTTTTATGTTTAAATCGGCTGAAATTTCTAAATTCCATAGTAAATCATAGAAAAAACATAAAATGGAAAAAAATTGTTTTGGATTCCTCATGAGTATATCTATGCAATAGATACATAATATGACATTTTTTAGTAGAAAGTGTTTGCTGTAGGTTTTTCCCTATGCTTTTTAGGGATAAATGCATGTTCATAGTTATGTTGCTTCAATTGCAATGAAATTTTTATGGTAGGTTATCTATCCTATGCTTGTGCAGTGATGAAAATTTCAGCTTTATCGGTGCATGTATGACTGAGTTATTGATTTACCATGTCTTAGGCTTGTTAAAAAGTTTCTAAATAACAAAAGGGTGTAAAAATAGAAAATATGGTTCCACTGCATTTGTATGATGTCATTGTGTCAAATGAACACTTAATATGTGCATGTGTTTACAGAAAATATCGATCTATACATTTATCTTGCTTGCACACGCTTTATGTGATGCATTAAGTGTTGCCCTTCTCTATGTTTATGCATTTGCATCGTTGCATCTCATTTAGGTACGCTAGATGATGAGCACGTGGAAGTGACATTGGAGCCAAGCCAGAAGACAGTGTAATTGTGCCCATACTGAAGATTGGAACACTAACTTGCTATTATATTATTTACCCAGGCAAGCCCCGATGCATAACCCCTACTTTTCAGCACTTATATTATGTCGTGTGCATTATGTTTTGAGTTGGTTGGAACCCACCTGCATATATATTCCTTATCCTATAAGCCTTACTAGTATGACAGGATTGTGTAGATTTCCATGCTATATGACTCCGATAGAAGTCGAGTGATTACCTTTCACTCACGAGAGAGAGCAATATATATTACTATTATTATTACTATCGCATGATTCGAGGTGGATAATAATTGGAGACCGGGCAGGAAACACGGGAATTGGACGTTGTGGATATTGTGGTTGTTGTGGAGGTTGGTTGGTGCAACAGGGCATGGTCCTGAGGTCTCAAGGCCTCGTCCTGGGAGCAGTTTCCTGCCTGAGTCAATTAAGGACCGTTCGTTGTCTAGACTGCTTTGCCAAGTTTTATATGTCCCTCTCACATACCTGCGGGTGGGGGCACGTAGGCTTGCGTACCTTTCTTGTTATAGGTTCTAGCTCTTTTCGAACCAACTTGTATGGAGGCGGGGGCAGGTGGAGTTCCAAGAGCATCAACTTGTCGAATAGGCCACGGTGTTCGGACTTGGAATCCGAGTTTGGGCGGGGACCTGGAGTCTATGACAGGATTGAGAAGGGCTAGTCTTGTCTATGTTTTTTGGGTTTAGACCGAGGCGTGTGTTGAGGGTAACCCAGTGGGGAGTCATCGGTTCATGAATCGTCGTTTCTTTTGAGATGGTACCTGCTTGGCAACTGTCTAGCATCGTAGTAAGGAATGGAACATGGATGAGGAATTAAAATGATTCTAATTGCTTACCACCTACTTAAAAGTAGCATAGGTTCTTACCTAGAATGGTTAGCTAATGAACTAATAATCATGACCGCTAAAACTTAGAATATAAGGATGCACTATTATTAATACTTCCCGACACAACAAACAAAAACCAAATAATCCTTGCATATCTTTGGAGTCATTTTTATTTTTCTCCTATTGGGTAAGTCCTGCTGAGTACACTGGAGTACACAGGGTTTTATTCCCCCCTATTACAGGAAACAGGTGGACACTAGAGCTAACTCATATGTGTGGATACCTCTTGGTGGGCTCAGCGAGGATTCCTTTTACGTTGCGATCTAGTTTTTATTTATAACCTTCACCAAATCTTTTTATAAAGAAAAGTCAAGTTTGGTGTCATATTTTGTGTAACTGTTTACCTTATTGAAATATTTAAACATGCCTTGAATAAATGACTATTTCCATTACAACTTCAATCACATGCTTATTTATGTTGCAAGATAAATTTTGTAAACCTGTAATATATCAACTTTTATTTATGTTTTGTAATAACTCTGATTTTATATAATCATGTGATGTATGAAATGGTTAAGAATGTTGTAAGCTTTATTCATTTATGATCCTGACGAAAAATGTGGATTTTCGAGTCCCTCCCTATTGGGTGTGCTCGACGGAACTGTCTGATTTTTTTATGCTCACTTGGGTATTTAGTGTCTAATGGAACACAAGTATCATTGGGAGCGCATTAAGTCAGACGGTTCTGCTACACGAGAACACTTGATAGAATTCCACCGGGAAACCATCAGATCTTGGTGCTAAGTTGTTCTTCATGTGAAAAAGAGTTTCCTTAACCTCAGTTTCTTAAAGGTCGCAATAAGTAACTCTTTTTCCTATGTTGAAGCTTGAGGAATGTCTTGAACACTAGACTCATCCATAGTTATGAAACTATGGTCTTGAGGGCCAAAGAGTTTTTTTTTATAATATGTTGTGATATACTTTTAGAGTTCAGCATCACCGCCATTACACCTTCGTCTTCTTCCAATCTAAAAATCCTTGTTTTCCAAAACTTTCTGTGTTCATATCACCTTCTAACAGATGTTTTACTTTAGCTCGTTAATACCATTTTAATTCTTCCTCTCTCAACACTATGCTAGCCTATTATTAAGAGCGTATTTAATATTTAACTCAAGTGAAACTAAAGTTATTGTTTCAACTTTTTTATAGAGTCCATCCAACAGATGTTTTACTTTAGCTCGTTAATACCATTTTAATTCTTCTTCTCTCAACACTGTGCTAGCCTATTATTAAGAGGGTGCTTATTATTTAACTCGAGTGAATCTAAAGTTATTGTTTCAACTTTTTATAGAGTCCACCCAATCTATTCAACTATTTTTTTTGTACGCCCCACTTATATTCCTAGCCCACCCATTAGGTGTTGTCGTAACCATCTAATTTTTTCTTGCCTTTTTTCCAAGGGAGAATGTCCTCTATAAAAGTGGTAAATGTGCATTGTATGATTTGTGCACAAATAAAAAATAAAGCAAAATGATTGATACCACTCAAAGTAATAAATAATGCTGAACACTGCCAATACAATGGTAAACAGTGCTATACTATCTTTTTTCGTTGGATAAATTTTGAAACTTTTTGCGGGTCGGAAAGAGGTAGTACTGGTGTGGATGACGCTGCACCGAAACGACAATTGCTGTCGGCAGCCATGTGGCGAGATATTTGAGCGTTCTACCAATAATAATGTAGGGTGCTTCGTACTTTACAGCGACATCTTTAAGACATGTGGGAAGTCCAGACTAGAAAGGAGGCTACCAACTCTCCATCGTCACATCACCCCGCTCCATAGTTCACCACCACACCACCGCACCCCAACCAAGCGTTCGGCCATGGCACCGCCGGCAACGAAGAGCCCGGGAGAGCTCGACGGCGGCGCACGCCCGCATGTCATGTTCATCCCGAGCGCCGGCATGGGCCACCTCCTCCCGTTCTTCCGCGTCATCGCGGCTCTCGCGGGGCACGACGTCGACATCTCCGTGGTGACCGTTCTTCCTACCGTCTCCGCCGCCGAGGCCGACCACTTCAGCAGCCTCTTCGCTGCCCTCCCCCGCGTCCGCCGCGTCGACTTCCACCTCTTGCCGTTCGATGCGTCGGAGTTCCCAGGCCACGACCCGTTCTTGCTCCGATGGGAGGCCCTGCGCCGCTCAGCGCACCTCTTCCGCCCACTCATTGGCGGCGCCACCCCGCGCGTCTCGGCCGTCGTTTCAGACGTGACCCTGACCTCCCACGTCATCCCCATCGCCAAGGAGCTCTGTGTCAAGTGCCACGTCCTCTTCGTCTCCTGCGCCACCATGCTCTCACTCGTTGCGTACACCCCTGTACACCTCGACAAGAAGGTGGAGCAGGGGCCTGGCGTCGGCGACGTCGACATCCCTGGCGTGCGTCGAATCCCGCAGTCTTATCTCCCGCAGCCGCTGCTCGACCTCAACAAACTCTTCACCAAGCAGTTCATCGACAACGGCCGCGAGATCATCAACGCCGACAGCTTTCTGGTCAACACGTTCGACGCCTTGGAGCCGGTGGCGCTCGCCGCGCTTAGAGACGGCAAGGTCGTCCCCGGGTTCCCGACGGTGTACGCCATCGGCCCGCTCAGGTCGCAGCACAACTCAGCTGAAGTTGAGAAGGAAGAAGAAGCAACGGGCTCCCCCGTTGCTTGGCTTGACGAGCAGCCGGCACGGTCAGTGGTGTATGTCGCGTTCGGCAACCGCAACGCCGTGAGCCGTGACCAGATAAGGGAGATCGCCGCCGGATTGGAGGCGAGCGGCTGCCGGTTCCTCTGGGTGCTCAAGACCACGACGGTGGATAGGGATGACAGCGCCGAGCTGACCGACGTGCTCGGCAAGGGGTTCCTGGAGCGAGTGCAGGGGCGCGGCCTCGTGACCAAGGCGTGGGTAGACCAGGAGGCCCTTCTGAAGCACCCGTCCGTGGGGCTGTTCCTAAGCCACAGCGGGTGGAACTCAGTGACGGAGGCTGCTGCCTCCGGCGTGCCGCTGCTGGCGTGGCCACGCGGCGGCGACCATCGCGTGAACGCCACGGTAGTGGTGAGCGGCGGCGTTGGAGTGTGGATGGAGCACTGGAGCTGGGACGGGGAAGACTGGCTGGTGACCGGGGAGGAGATCGGAAAGAAAGTCAAGGAAGTTATGTCCGACGCGACAATCAGGGCAAGTGCGACGAGGACCGGCGAGGAAGCGGCCAAGGCTGTCGCAGAGGGTGGCACCAGCTACCGGAGCATGCAGCAGTTTATTTCCAGCCTCAAAGCAACCTAACCACACTGGGGCCCTTGAGTCTGTCATTCCTGGGGCTTGTGTGATGCCCGTTTATTTCCATAAATTTGTGTCTTTCCTAATAACAAGGTAGTACCTTCCAGACTCATGGGGCGCTTGTGAGTTGTGATGTCGTTGTCGAGTGGCAGGTTGCGGCGTCAACCACGTGTGTCGTGAGGTAGCCTGTGCAATCGCGCACCTAGCAATAGCATCAAGAATAAGTGTATCATTTCTCACGTAGTAATGTAATATTGTATATTCTATTTTTATGGACCATTTAGGTAGCATCAAGAATAAGTGTATCATTTCTCATGCAGTAATGTAATATTGTATATTCTATTTTTATGGACCATTTAGGTACCGTCTAGCAGGCCTTCACTTTATCGGTGAAGCCGCTTTATGTTTCAGCTCTACGAACAACTTCACTGGTAAAGCAGGAGCTGTTTTGGTGACCCATTGGCAAAACAGCTCCTCATGGCAGATGAAGTGGCTAATATATATACATATGATACCCTTACTTTTCTCTTTTTCTTCTTTCTCCCCTCATTCTCTTTCTCCCAAAGACTGCTACCTCGCGCTGCTCCCACGGCAGCTGCGCGGTTCTCCCCCGATGGCCTGAGTGCCCCTGCCCAGTGGCTGCAATCCCTCCCCCGGCGGGCGGTGTGCCCCTGCCCAGTGGCCACGCTCCCCTCCCTGACGGCAGACACGCCTCTCCACGGTAGTCGCGCTCCCTCCCTCGATAGCCGCGTGCCTTGGCGGCCGCGCTCCCTAGCAGCCACGTCAAGTGGTTGTGAGCTCTATCTGGCTTGGGAAAATTCGACATTATTGCATGGTGGGACCTACGGGCGTGGGTTGGGGCCGGGTGAGTCTACTATTTTAGGCTTCGTCCCAATCCAAACCTCTGTGAGAGCAGGTTTTAAGGGGTTCACCAATGAAACCTTTCATTTACCCTGTTTGGCGGAAAATGGCTCTAAACGGCTTCCGAAGCCAATGAAAAAACCCTGCTAGACGGGGCCTTACACTCTATCTTACCATATCTCTTCCTTGTGCCATATTCGTACATACTTTCTCCCTCCTAAATAAATAGCTTTCTAAATTTTTTAGAAAGATTAAGAATGTTGGTAAAAGATGTATGTATCCTCATGTCTTTAACTTTCCCAGAGGATATCTCGAGAATTTTGCGTTTATTGTTTGTATATATCCTTGATTAGCTTCTGTATTAGAAGATCGTGTTCCATGTTTTTTAGAATATCTTAATAAACTCTGTATAGACCGTACATCCATTGCTTTTTTGTGATTATATAGTACAACTCTGACACTCACAACGTACGCACACTCACCCTCTAAGAACGCATGCACACAAACTCTACCCCTATGAATATCTTTGACGACTAGGCTAGCAATCCTCGCGATTGACGAAGTCACCACAGGAGTCTCGCTGCCGACGGGAACGTCGCCTAACTTTGAAGCTCCCACGGGAAGTCAAACCTATGACCTAAGTTGCTACTGAGGCTCTTGTAACCATTAGGTTACAGGACCTTTTGCCTCTACAACCATTACTTTGCTTTGTTTTATACCAATTTTATTCTGAATGCACTTATTTTGAGTTTTTGTGATTCTATAGTTAAATAACTTCTGCTTGGCTCCTTGGAAGGTTACATTCCATCAATTATGTGGTTAGTGAAGTGTGTCTTTCACTGTCACTGTCTTGTTAATATCTAGTAGAAAGAAAATAGGTGGAGTGTGCCTATTCTGTCACTGTTACAAAAATAGATGAATACCCACCCAGCTTGGATTTTTTTTTATTTTTAACACTTTTTTTAAACTATTTCCAAATTTGACACTGTTAATTTTTTTTAAAACTACCACTTTTGGATGCGCCTATTACGGTGGCGCGGCAAAACCAAGCTGCCGCGCCATGCATGGCGGCGCGCGTGAGGCCGCCATCGTGGTAGTCAACCGCGGCGCGGACCACTAACGTGGCTGGGCTTGCCACGCCACCGGCCTAGGAGCGGCAGTGATGTGCCATTGCTCCTGGCTCGGCAAGGCCGCCGCGCCACCCTTCACGGCGGGCTGCAGTATGCTGATGTAGTGAAAGGTGAAACCTGTGCCGATGCTGATGCAGTATGCTTTGCTCATTACTTTCAGTTTCTGCAGAGATGCAGACATAAAACTGGAAAAGCATGGCAAAATATTGCGTAGAAGATTTCCCTAATCTTTTGAAGACCGAGAATTTTGACAATGTTCCAACACTTCTGTCCCATTTGATTGATTCTTTTGCAGCTAATGCTGGATCCTTTATCAAATGGGCTGTTCAAGTTAGGTGAAAAGAGGAAGGTGGGCAATGCTTAAGCAAAGAGGAGAAAGAAATGCTTTTAGTGAAGGTCGCTTTTCCATTTCATTTTCTACTGCTGGATCAAATCTTTTGCTCCCTTATATAGCACGCCTTGTGCTCATCTGCAGGAAAATGTATTACAGCAAGTACGTGATACCAGGCTATTTATGATAGTCCATGACCTGCATGTGCTAGTATCCAATGCGGTAGTTGTTCACCATCAAGTGAAGATTCTGTTACTAGGATTACACCATCTGTCAAGGAGCAAAAATGCTCGCCAACACAGGATATAAGACAAGTTCCACATTACATAAGTTCATCCAATTACATTGGTCCAAATACAAGTTCGCCATAACATAAGTTCCATACTCTACTTCATCATGTCCTCCTGAACCACTCCAACAAGAAGGCCTATGTCCCAGGAGTATACGGCTCCCGCGCACGCCTCTGCCTCTTTGGACGTGAAGGCATCATGTTAGGAGTGAACCCAACGTCGGAACGGTCACGCTGGCTGCATGAACTATTGCGTGTAACTAGTACCCTGCAATTGCAAAATAGGCATTAGTAGTTAGACTAATAAAATTTGTTAAGTATATGCCCAAGAGTTGTTTCAATTACCTGTTCATCCAATGTGTAAGAAGCGGTGCACCACCTAGTTGAGACATCCCAATCTCATCGTACTCATCCTCATCCTCATCCTCGTCGTCGTCGTCCTCATCCTCCTCGTCGTCGATATCTGCAGGACCCTTTCCTTCATGGACGGGTGTACGAACACCTGAGGTCCCGGCAGCCATCGATCCCGACGAACTGGCAGCTGTCGGCAAAGTGCTCAAACGGAAGGGGCTAGACAGCGAGCACCCACTCGGTATCCACACAGCTGAGCTTCAGAGCCAGCTTCCTACAGGTCTTCCTCACTTTGTGCAAAATAAGATGACACAGATTGATTAGCCTTGAAACGCATTACACCGTATTGACGATTTATGTAATGCCATTGGAAAAATATTGTACACTGACAAACATATGTAGAATGCCCTGCGGCTCCCCTCTAGTCTCGTGAAGTCGACAGACTGCTTCATTGGAGAGACTTGACAAACGTTGGCCTGCGCACATAATGAAGGTACGTTCGTATTACTACAAGTATTAGCAATGCAAGGGCCCAGTTGTGATGAAATTCAAACTCCTTACCATGTATCTCTGTAGCGGAGCTCTCTCGGGCTATGTCTCCTGCCTAGTTGCGACGTCGTACGTATCTTCAACATCATCTTCGTATGACTCGTCCTCAATTGCGTGGTCAGTGTAGGGGGCCTTCAAATGTGTCGTCGTAGACCTGTGCAACGATTGCAGGTGATTGCAGGTACTGGTCGAAGTTCTGCTGGTCGTGTGGTGGAGCATCGCTGACCTGGAACATCTACCTTTCTTGCCACTCGTGGATGAAGGCGCTGTGCGTGATGCGCCAATCCTTCTCCTTGTACCTGTTCCTTGGATTGTACCTGCAATGTACACTTAAGTTAGTGGTTGTATGTATACACATGACTATTTTAATGTTTATATTGAAACAATGTTAGTGTCATCGCACCCGTGCATTTTTTTGTTTGTTGTGTACAGCGGAGGTGGGTATGGCTGCCATCTTCCGAATTGCCTGTACACCCTGATAGGTTAGTGCATCTTGACCATGTGGAAGAAAATTAGTGGCACCTTTGAAAGCCACTCGTCCGACTCTTCCTCAGTGCGAGGACTCAGGTAGCCCTCTAGCTCGAATCGAGCCCAAGGACACGAAGTCACCTGAAATGTAGGTTACTGAATTAGGTTTTGAATTATTGAAAAACTAACAACACCGACTTGCATAAGCAAAGTGGTCATAACCTAATGCTGTCTCAGGACGTCCAACGTGTCCGTGTAGCTCCTATACAGTCGCTGCGGGTTGTCTCTCACTACCTCCGCTTCTTTCCAGACATACAGAGTAGTCAGTCGTACATCATCGTGATTCCATGCCTGCATTGAACACGAATATTGAGTGACAAGTGCGGCTTTAAGTTTCAAGTACATAAAAATCGATGGACTTACAGGTAAACCATCAACAACGGGCCTCTTAATTGGACATCGCTCCCAACACCAAACCAGTAGTAGGTGGGAGCAACCACCTAGGTTGGCAGAGCTGACAATACGTCCATGCTAGGACCACGCTACCCAAGCTGTACGCTGCTATGTTCTCCCATGGCTGGCTCAGTACGCTCAGAAAGGCCTAGCTGATGGTGTTACCCGATGTGTCAGAGAATAGGAAGGCGTCTAGGAAGTGCCACAGCCACACTCTAGTGACCTCTCGATCTCGTGCTCTGCAGCATCCGGGTGCAGCAGTGTCCCCACTGATGGTAGTTAACAACCATTATAAACCGTTAATATAATATGTATAAGGGCATAAATATAATCACCAATCATAATCTAGGGGTTTAAACTAACAAATTCCACGAGTTTTGGTGAATCTATATTTTCTGTAGGGTTTATCCAGAAAATCGTCAAGGTGGACCTACATGTTAGATTTAATTACGCTTATCCACAACGAAACAGACACCAGAAGGTTCTAGAAGACTCGGGAGGACTCCACACCGAAGCGGAGGGTGATACATCGACCGGCCCCACCTATAAGCCACCCGACCTCTAGGGGCCCACA